TCAAAGTCTAATTTCATACATTAGATTCAAAGCTTTATATGATTGATATTCTCTATGTTATCAATCAATTACTTCCTAGCAATTACTGCTACACTATCTTACCATAATTATTTTATCATCAATCTCCTTTAAATAATGTATATATACCAACCTTTGCATCTAGAATTTTGATTCTTTAACTTTTAAAGAATTAATTTGATATAGTTTTGATATTTTAAGGTTTGATTTTCATATTTTATTATACAGTAAATCGATTATCATAATTTGATCAATTTCAACTTATATACACATGTATAATAGAGAATTATAGCTTTGATTTTTCAAGAAATATTTCAATTATATCATATTAATGCAACAATATTTTACACATGTAAAAGTATTCAAAATAAAGTCTGACAAACAATTCTCTCAATTAATTATTTACCCAACAAGAACATCTAAACTAAGTCAAAAATTCAAGATCTAAATAACTAATCACTATTTTATATATTTGCAAATATTACGTATATAACTAAACTTACAGCGTATAATATTTAGTGTTTTAATATTTTTTTCATAAATATCAAATATCAATTTTGAATATGGATTTTTTTTTTTAAAAAAAAGATATACAAAATATCATAATTTTTTAAAAAAATTAATTTTGATATAAGATTCGATATCTATCGTACTATATCTTTAGAGGGAGTAAAATTTGATATCGTAAAGGTGAATCTGCTCTTTGAAATATCTTTCTGTTTTATTTTATGTAACACTTTTAATTTTTTGAAAGCCAAAATAATTTAACTTTGATCGGACATTTGCATATGAAATTTTTAATTTTTTTTAAATGAACATAAATTTATTTGAATATCAAAATACGAAAAGTATCCGGTAGCACAATGGACCAAAGATTGCAAATATCACAAACGGGAAAATATCTGAACAAAGGCCGGCGTGCTTCTTTTCGAAGTAGGAAAAAGAAAAAGGAACAATACGATAAGATAATACTGTGGCGAATTGGGGAAGAAGAGAAATCAATTCAGTAATGGCGTTAGAACAAACAATTGCATTCACTAACCCTTTCTTCTCTTCAACTCCAAGAACCCCTGCAAAATCTCTCTCTTTTCGATTTTTCTCCCAATCCAAGCAAGTACAAACCGCCAAATTAGCTTCGGGTTGTCGTATAAGATGTTCCTTTGAGTACAATAGTTCTGGAAATGGAAACGGTAGTGTGTATGAGTATGAAAGATATGCTGGGGTTTCTCAGTACCCACGGCCTTCCGAAGTACAGTGGAAGAAGGAGCTTTGTAATTCAGTGCAGCTTATTGGTAATGTTGCAGTGCCGGTTCAAATTAAGCATCTTAATTCCGGAAAAGTTGTAGCTTGGACTCGTCTTGCTGTAAGGAAGTCGCAAAACGACACTACTTGGTAATTTAAAACGACACCCAGTTGATTTGTTTTGGTTGCTTGACACTTTTTTATGTTTATCCTTTTCAAAATTTTGAATGCAGCTCCAATTTGAACACTTGTAGCCATTGTTTGGTTGCTGGTTAGACTCATTAGAGTTATGTAGATATTAACAATGCAGAATTTCGTTATTCCATCTTCTACCCTGCATAAATAATACATTAATTCCCTTGTATGTAAGTATTAGTTATGCGAGATTGTAATCTGGTAGGCTGGTAGGGGAATACCAAACTTGGTGTGTGAAGTTTTATGCAGAGCAACTAAAATGCTACCAAATATGGTACTAGTTATGCTGGTTTTAATACATGAATAGTTTACATTTTTAACCAGCAACCAAATGACACCTAAGGAGGACCTTTTGTTGTTGCAATTACTAGACTGCAACTCTAATTTGAACACGGGGTTGTTTGGTTGCGGGTTGGAGTTATGTTGGTTAGTAATGCAGAGGTAAGTTATGCAAGAATTTATTATTCATGTATTAGTTATCCATCTTCTATACATAGATTCCTCGTAAGTATTAAGCAAGAGTGCAAACTGGTAACCAAACACCGTATTTGGTGTGTTGAGTTTTATACATATCTTGTTTTTTTTGTTTTTTTTTTGTAAATTGGTAAATGTTGAAAGTTTTGTACAATCAACTAAAATACTACCGAACATGGTACTAGTTATACTGATATTAATACATGAGTAACTTACATTTCTAACTAGCAACAAAACAACCCCTAAGTAGACTATTTTCATTCACCTATACAAGTAGTAATAATGTGAGCGTGTTAGTTTAGAGGCAAACATTTGTGCTACTGTGAAAACTTTAAGCCTTCATCCAATAACAAACCGAACAAAGTGATCCAACTATAATTCATATAATAGGCACTCTATCATGACTGCTTTAGTTTGGTGTAATTTTTACTGCGATAAATGATAATTGATAATTGTATATCATGGCATTATTCCAATGATCTGTTGTTACACTTAAGGGGTTAAAGAGATTACCTTGAAGCCATCATAGCTAGAAAATTTAATCTACTGAAACTTTATGATGTGGAAATCAAATGAAAGATGCAGTAAATCTACTATTACGCCATGGCATCCTCAATTGATGGACGTAAAACTGATAAAGACTATTGGCAATACGCATACATCAAGTATCTTAACATAACAAGTAGTGAAAGTAGATGCATAATTTATGTTTTCAACTGAAACAAATTTGCCTTTTTCTTTTACCTAATTCAAGATTCAATGTGGCAAAAACTAATGACTTGCAAACTGCTTCCATAAATCCATCGACTCATGAAAGCTATCTCTGCTGTTGTAATCCTTGTATCCTAATGTCCACTGGTCTACTTTTTTCCCTCTTCCACAACTGGACAGTGTCTGAATTTTCCATACCACAAACCCAGAAAGTCAGTTTTCATGAGTTTCCTGATACCAATTTTTAGCTTGACTAAAGAACTAGAAAAATCCCTAAAACTGAAATTTGCTCGGGCACATGAGTTGAGTGTACTTGCGTTAACTAGTTGTCGAGCAAGATCTAATTTTGAAGTTTCCATATGCAATTCCTTTTGTGTTCTTAGAAATGCCTCCGCACTTCTGATTTTGAAACCAACAAACCTTTTGTTCTCCTAGTGGATGGTTTTAACATTTCCCAAGTTACATTCTTTTAGGACCAAAATATCTGAAAGCTGCCATTTGGTTTGGCATTACTCCTTGCCTCAAGCTTTCATTCTTTTGGTTAGGACTTTGACTAAATTCTATTTCTTTTATAGTGTAGTTTACTAGTGTGTTTGTCCTCCGTTTCTATGTTTCCTTCGATAGCCCAGATCATGTTCTTTTTTTGATAATAAATTTGAGTTCATTATTTCTACAAAGTTTTGTATCATGTTCTCGCATTCCTACTGTTGCTTCCTTAATGAATAAAAGAGAGGTTAAGTAATAATGAAGCTTACTCTGCCTGAAATAGCAATCCTCCTTTCCTATCTCTTTTTTATTCTTCTTAATGACCAATAGCAGAAAATTCAGTTCTTCGGTTTCTATTTTTGTGGTTTCAGGATTAATTTGACATTCTGGGATGACTTGGCTAATGTTGCCAATCAACATGTGGAGAAAGGACAGCAGATATATGTGTCTGGTCGCCTAATATCAGATACAGTTGAAGGTGATGATGGAAAAGAACAGACTTATTATAAGGTTGCTTTACTTGTAATTTTCTTTGGGTGTTGTATGGACATCATGTTTGTCCTATATCTGTATGACTGAACTTTTGCGTTCTTTTTTGGCAGGTGGTCGTTCAGCAATTGAATTTTATTGAGAAGAGCTCTCCTCCTATTGCCTCATATAACGGGGACTCTAATTCCATGGCACCACGTAAGTAATACTTCTTTACCTAAAATCTTTCTTTACTGCTAGAGCTGGATGCACATCTTTCTGGCATCAAATTTTGAGAGGTTTCCACTTGTGGCTTTGCAGGTAAAAAGCAAAATAATTTTGCTGCAAATACCACTGGATCCACGGAGGAGCTATGGCAAGCTTTCTTTGCTAATCCACTAGAATGGTGGGATAATAGGAAGAACAAGGTACACCCAGTAAAGCATTTCTTAAAATTACATAAACAAGAAGTTGACGATTGCCATAGCATCACTAGTTGCACTTTTATACTTGTCTTTACTGGTGCATATGTAATGCACATGACATGCTTGCTGCAGAATTCCTTTTTTGGGTAAAATTTAGTGCCAACCAACACTAGAGATAAAGAAAGTGCAGTTTGCTTTGGGAGCAAGGAAGACAAACTAAAAGCAAAAGATAGTCTGAATTATGAACCTATCAAAGCGAAATACTGAACAATACTGAGTTTGGGTGCTTAAAGATTGATTAGACACTTCACAATATTATTTCATTTTGCTAGTCCCTCACAAAATAAATACTCAGTGACATTATTCCTTTGACAGAGGAGTCCAAACTATCCAGACTTCAAGCACAAAGATACCGGTGAAGCATTGTGGGTAGAAGGCAGATACAATCCAACATGGGTGAAATCTCAACTTGCAGTACTGGATTCAAAGATGGAGTCTTTTCATGATCAAAATGGCAGCAGAAATGCAGAGTTCATGTCCATGGATAATTTCCAATTTTAGTTGTTCCCCATTTGTTTTCACCTCTACTTCCAAATATTCTCTTGTATAGATTTGTTCCTCCCAGTAGGAACATAAATTTTGTATTACTTGTTTGCTAGTATTACTGTTCAATGAATTTTAGATTTTCAGAACAAGTTTTCGAGTATTGTAAGCTAACAAGAAGACTAATAGACCTATTTCTGATTTTCTGCTGCATCATGTTGTGCTAAAGTTTTGTATTTCTTCCCGTATATTTATACTCGTACATAATACACAAGGAAATTCTTCCAAAAAAAAAAAAAGAAGGATAAAACTATTTGTACATGTAGATCTAGATCTATATATCCCGTGAAACTAATAGAAGATCGAGATAGTTTACAAAACTGAAACTTGTTCATCCCTAGCAGATTTGTATGTATGTTTATATATATTTCCATGTTTTTATAGACATGCTAGACCTTTAGCTTCAGATCCTTTGATAATTCTAAGCCTTTTGCAAGAACTTATAAACATCTCCCATGGTACATCACCAACAAGCATCCAATCACCATCCTTGTCTTCATATGTTGGTGCATAATCAGATCCATTATATCCTTCTCTTTCTGAATACACTCCTGAAATTATTCAACATAAAAACATAAGTATATTTCTACTTAAGACTTTACTATTTTATATTATATACACTGACAGTATAACACGAAACTTACCAATAGTGCACTTGAACATGCTTTGTAAAGCCTTGAGTAGCTCTTGATAACTTTTGTAAACCTGAAGATCAATTTTCCTCAAATAAGGTGCTCCATCCATGCTAACTTTTAAATACATTCCTGAGGAATTATTATCAGATTCTGATAATTTAGACACATGATTTTTCCTGTATGATCGAACTGGTGGCCAACCAACAACTTGTGCTCTGAAATTATCATAACAAAAAAAAAAAAATTGTTAAAAAATTGATCCATTATTTTCAAAAAAAAAAAAAAAAGTAAAAAACAAACAACACTTACTTTGGTGCAGGAGCTGAGTCTTGTTGTTCATTTTCATTTACACTACTAGATGAAGGTCTTTTTCTGCTATTTTTAGAAGTACTAGTTGATGTTGAAGATTCATCGTTTATTATCCCAGGCAAACCTAATCTTAGCTCAGTTGCCTCAAGATCATTGATATCCTTCTCGTAAATTCTCATGATTTAGAAAGAATGATTGATTTGAATTGCTGTGAATTGTGAGGATTGTTATATAGGAAAAAGACAATATGTAGGCGAGTTATTCTTTGTGTGTGCATGAATCTCATAAATAATAACACGGAGAAAACAACTCGCCTACGATTCGTTGTCAATACGCGCTTGCTTGCAGCCAGGTAAACAGACGCACGTTGGGTGCGATTTTTGCACGGAAGTTACGTTAGTTTTGGAACACAAATTTGATGCAACAGGGAATGGTGTCCCTCACATAACCGGCAATGAGGGAACACAAGAGGGACACTCCACACGCTAGTATTCAATGCCTTTGCTACCGAAAATCGACAGATTTTTATTAAGTGAAAGAATAAATATACAGACTAATTAATCAAGAGAGTTCAACATCTACAGTATACTTTCTCTATCCCTAGTTATTTGTCTACTTTTGAATTAACACATCTATTAAGAAAATAATTATTTGATTTAGCGAGTTTATCATTTTACTCATATTAATTATGACGTGGATAAATTAAAAATTTAAGATTTAGCAAAAATTCTATATTTTTCACAGTAATCAATTAAGAGTATAATAGGTAAGAATTTTTTATTTGTCAAAATAGACAAGTAAGAACAAAATAGAGTATATATATAAAGTAAATTTAACTATTAATAAATAGTAGATGAACCGCTGACCATAAGCTAGCTCCACCCTTGATCGAGGGTGGAGCTAGCAAAGGTCGAACATATATATATATATATATGGTTTAAAGGGTAGTGCTAAATGGTCAAAAAAAGTGTTCAGAAATTCAAAAGAATTAAAATAAACAGCTCTTTTTTCTATTTTTTAATCAAAATATACTAAAGTTAAAATGAAAATGTTCAAAAAGGTAACGTAAAATATCATTTATAAATTTTATCTAAATTCTTCTGGCCAGAAAGATTTTCCGATATTATATATAAGACCTCTTGCATTTCTCGTATTTCTATTCTTCGTATTTTTGACTTTTTAATAAATTTTTTGACTCCGACACTGATAATGATGAGTTAGTTTGACGAAATGGAGGGAAGAATTAACGTTACGTTACATGGAAGTTGGAACTGACGCGATTATAAGGATATATATTTTTTTTTTTGTAAATAAGATACAGATGTATGTAAACATAAAAACATTTAACACGGCCGTGATTACATGCGTAAATTTTGTTCATAACAGAAGACGTTTAATGTTTAAAATTATTTTTAATATAAATGAAATTTCAAATACAGAGATTATATTATTGTGGACATTGTCAAATAACTAAGTGAGATTAACATGAATAATAAATAAATAAAGTCATTAAGTATAGTATTAAATAAGAAATATGTCTTTTTAGATCGATTCTTAATTTTAAGTCTTTGCTATTATTTAGAGATATAAGTTTAAATTTACTGCTAATTTTGTTTTGATATAGCTGTTCTACTTTTTTGTAATAGTTTTAAAAAGAATATTTTCTTATTCATTTAAATTATTTTACAAAATCTTCATTTTTAAAATTATATGTCAAGTTAAAATAAGATAAATAAATTAAAATGGAAAAAATATTTATTACAATTTTTAGTGTATAAATTTAAAACAAACACAAAAAAAAGTCTAATCTGATATAATTTTTTCTTTTGGATTTTTCATTCAATTCGATATGTATTTTGAAATACAATTCAATTTAAATTTATATCAAATAATTTCTTATTAACGTTTTTTAATAAAAACGATTTCGTTTTAAAAAATTTAATACGAATTGGATATGAATTCTTCCAGCATATTAGTGTCAGATCATGGGCAGAAATCAACATGTGAAATGGGTCCCTTAGGTGTCGGTTGATGAAATTTAAGGTCAATTATTAATTAGGACCCTACCTATTCAAATTGAATACCCATTTTTTTTTAAAAAAAAAAATACCCATTTTTATCTAAATTATATTTTTTTCCATATAATTTATACGATATAATTAGACTTGATTACGTGTTTATTTCATTGAAAGACCTTGACTTTACCTAGCTCCACTATGATCATATTCTTAGACTAACAATATTGCAATTAGGGTTCCTCCTCAAATTTTAATAAGGTCAAATTCTATGTACTCGTAATAATCTCTAAAATTTGTAAACTTCTATTAATTTGATTTTTATCCGCATCTCTTTCGTCTAGTATATATCAATTGAGTTAATATACTTATTAATCGGGTGATCATCTGACAAATCGAATATATTTCTTTTACATTACAAACCAAACAGAGGTGTGTTTTCGAAGTTTGAATGACCTTTGTGGCCAGCTATTACATAAAGGAATGCGAAAATGTATAAGTACCCCCTCCCCCAATCTATGCCCGAAATCTCATAAACACACTCATACTATATCAAGATTTTATTATCTCTGGACTTATTTTATAAATAATTTTCTACCCTTTTCGACATACGTGACACTATCTTCCGAGTCCAGCGGATGCTGACAATTTTTTCAAGCTATCTGGTTGATAGTGCCACATAGACAAAAAAAATAGAAAATTATTCATAAAATAAATTCAAAAAAATAATATGACCTTAATATAATATAAATATGTCGAAAATTTCAAACATTGGTTAGATTACTTATACATTTTCCCTCTGGGAATTTCATCCACACATTTAAATTTTGAACATGGAATTAATAAATGTCGATTCAATTGCAGCAACTTTAATTTGACAGTGAATACATTTAATTAGTTAATAGACTCATACTAGCAGTAAGAGTTACGTTAATTGGTTGGTCAATGGATGAGAACCTCAATTTTCCACCAATTAGATAACGTTACGTTGGAGTCTCCCATTGCTACTCAATGCCAATCAATATCTCAGTTTAATTAATTACTTATAAAGTAATATTATTAGTATTATGACTTTATAAATGTAATTTTATAAATCAGACTATATGTGTGTATGTACAAGAATTTTAGTTCAAGGAGTTGTCATTTTGTTTGACGATTGTTTTCTTTGTTATAATTTTTTTTATATTATCGTATTAATCGTAATATTATTTCGTTTTTTTAAAAAAATTTCATCAAAAATGACCTCGTACTCAGGAGGTGTATGCAAAATTACTTAAAGTAAATGATTATACTTATAGAGAAAAAAAAAAAGAACTACATACAAGATATAAGTATTCATTTTATTTAACTGAAATCCGATATTAAAATATCAAATTAAGATAATAATTAACGTATTTGATATTTTCGTGGCATTATGTGATTTAAAAGCATGCACGTACTATTAAAATTAATAAGGCAGATTTTAACCACATATATATATTGAGTCCAACTTAATTTGGGTATATTTGAAAGGGTTATCGATTAATGGGGTCACCTAAAAATTTAAATGTATTGTTAGATGAACAAAATCAGACAATATCACGCTTCAAAAATGTAAATGTCGGGTTGCCTTTCTGTGCAATTAATACCTATTATATGGTGTTATATTATAGTAATGTGTTATCTATGTTTTTAATTATTTGTCAATTTTGTTTTTTGTAGTTGTATCTAATTATTTGTCGATTTTGATAAATCAAGAAAGGATAATTCTTTTTTACCTATCATATCCACAATTAAATAACTAATTACTTTGAAATACGTAGAACTTTTTATCCACTTCATAATTAACAGGGGTTTAAATGGTAAGCTCACTACGTCATTAATTATTTTCTTAATATGCGTGTCAATTCAAAAGTGGATAAGTAAAAAGGGACAGAGGGAGTATTATATTAATAAATATAGTGTTTGAATAGATTATGTTGTTTTTTATTGTTACATAATGTCATATATTCAAAATTTGAAATGATAAACCTACAAGAAAGATAGAATACAAGATAGTGCTACTCCAAAAAAAATATGTAAAATAAATAAGGATAAAATGAGAAAAAAATATTAAGATTACTTATGTTATTTAGGACAAGTTGCAAACATAAATCAAGAATGTATCATGGGTATTCTTTGGTGGTATGTAATAATATTATAATCAATATATTCATGTTTTTTTTTCACTCGATATTCGAATTTCGTATTGAAACCCGAAAACTTAGCTTAGGAAAGAAGAACAGACAAGAAGGGTCCCCTACTCCAATTATATTTACTAAACACATTAAACCTTGCTTATATTTGGACTTAAGTTATCTCTTTCATTTTTTCAAAATATTATCCACTACTATTATAATTCAAAAATAGTACTTTAATTTTTAACAAGTAAAATAGGGCAACATGATCGACAACAATGGATCCTTACTTGCGGTAGATTCGTTTTAAAAGCTTTCAATCCGTCTCAATTTATACAACATAATTAATATATTAACATGTAGTATTTAAATATACAATTCTTAAATTTTAACAAATAATTTACATATTTTAAAACTGCATAGAAAGCACTAATTCAAGTTATGAAATTTAATAAATATAAATTATAGTAAACTTCTTTGGTTTAACTTTAGAGATCCGTAACTTATATTTAAATTGTATCATATAAATAGAAACAAAATAAATACCTCCGTTTACGTAATTATATAATAAATTCCAATATTTCACATCCCATTATTTATATTGGACGACTAAACATACATTGTATCAAGACATGCTTTCATTGCTCAAACGATAAGTGCGTACGTGCCGGGATGGAGGAGAGGATGACAACTACCAAAAGGGATAAGGTTAATGTAAAAAAAAAATAAACGTATTATTTAACTGATAGTTATGTCTTCTAATTTTAAATTTGTATAAATAAACTATCTAAAAGTTGTACAAATAGATATACACATTCTATATGATGTTCTAGCCTGACAATTTATATCCTATACGATATTCATTGTCTAGTTATTCAATTGTATACAAACATAAATGTTTACTAATATAGATTCGCGAGTTATAGATTATAAATGTCCATCCAAGCCAAGTAAAATGATTGTGAACCACACGTGTGAGGAATTAAATGTTGATGGTGAGATGTGGGCCTTACCACACGTGTAATTGAGTTTTTGGACTTTGTTGACTTTTGAGGAAGGCTAATGATACTTTGCTGTCTGTAGGTATGGGTTGGGTTTGGGTCCAGCCCCTTTTGGCCTATTATCTATGCATCCTATACACCGCATGTGCGCCCATCATCTGTCACTTCCAACTTTAATCATATGGTGAGCCCATTTCATCCTTAATTTAAATTCAGATATTTCGATTTAAGCTCTCGATATGAAGATAATTTCTATTTCTAATGTCACCCTAAATGAATTCTGACATGTAGTAATTAGTCTAAACACCGAGCAAGAAACCAAAATTATATCTATATATGTTTAATCATTTGAGTTTTGTAGTAAAGTCCAGCTAAAAAGTAAGTAATAATATGAAGGATGAGAGCTAAAAAGATTGCACCCTTTCACAAAATATAGAAAAAGAACTCATACAAAGTAAAGTATTCGACCTTAAGCATTAAATGTCAAAAAGATTACATCTTATTTGCAAGGGAAAAAAGTGTATTGTAAGCATGATTATTTCCAGTCCCCTTGAACTTATTCATCACCTCTAAGCGTAAACGCAACGAAAGGTTCTGCATGCTCATCAAATTCAAGCCAATGGATAAAATTCTATTTGGCTAACTTTTGATGCCACCATTCAAATTTTCCCTCACCACTCTTACTACAGGTGACGAGTCGGGGGCTCACCTCAATTCGTCAATCGACTTGATCACCAAATCTGCATTGTTCTTGGACTTCATAATTAGCTCAGCATTGGGCCTGTCATTGTAATCTATCTGTGGAAAGAATTTAGCAATGAACCAAAATATTGTTTCAATACCCAATGAACAAAAAGGAATTGAGCTAGATGATATCTTAAAAGGGATTAACAGTTAACTGTTAATTTTAATTGTTCTTTCTTTCAAAAAAGAGCCGTATTAGAAGTGAGGCGCTTACCCTCCATTTAGCAACATTAGGGGACTTTCCTATAACATAGATGAGAGAGCGCCAATTAGTCTACATTACCCAGTGTTTTTCTACATCTTTTCTAGTTAAAAGAGTTGAAACAATAGTTGGAATAGTACCTGTAGATATATGTCTCTTCAGGACACGTTGCATTGCTTTCTCAAGATCAACATCGACGAACCTAAAAGTAAATACATATAAGACAAGCGTCTTACCACATCAAGAACAACTAAAGCTTTGTTCTCATATAATGCTGCAAAGTAGCCAGGCTTTTAACAATTCAACGGATCCTGTTACCAGCGCGCTTTGATAACCTATAGCTAAGAAACTCAGGATACCACATCTACTGTATATGAATAAAACAGGCATTTTCTGGTTTTAGCAACATAGTTTCAGGGATCTTGACATTGATCCCTTTCTTAAACCATCCGGTATCTGGTACCACTAGTCTGACAAATCCAGGTTCATGTTGCATAGGGCCCATTAAAATAAGAGGTGCTCCCAAGCAGGAGTTTCTCCATTTTCATGGCTTGAATCCAAGACCTTTCGTTAAGGGGGAACGTATCCCATCCCACTATATCCTTTGGTGATATCTTGATATTGATTCACAAATACATCCCATTAATTGATAGAAGTCAAATAATCAGTAAACCAATAGCAAAGACATATCACAAACTCAATTACATCTTTTGAGCTAGGCAACGTAAACTCAATTTTTTACTTGCAGAAAAACTCAAAGTTATCCCTCAGAATCCAGTTTACTATATTAAGGTGAACAAGGTGCGTTCACCAGGGATTCCTTCCCTGTTGTCTAAAGAAAAACATGGATCAGAAAGATCATCTTACCATTTCTCATCAAACATGGAGGATACCTCCTTCCAAGCACCATCTCTAAGAAGCAGATAATTACCTTCAACTATCACTATTTTGTGTCTGCAAAACTCACCATGAAAAAAAATATATAAAAAGGGAAGAGGCAACGTTAGCAACAGGCAAAAGAACTTCACCATATGTCTATTCCTTCTGCGTCTTTAGAAACTTATTTAATTATCCAATCAAATTATTGAAATATCAGCAGACACCTATGAAAGAGCAATTAATAATTAGTTATCCAGTGCCCACAAGTATGAAAAAGTTATAACAGAAGTAGCACAAACATATTGAGAACACTGATTGAGCTAACACTTCCAATAAGAAGACACCTCAGCAGGCCTGCATATCTAAAACATTACCCAGCGGCCAGCTTTCACAGTTGCATAACGTAATTCTTCACTTCAAATCTGACCATTACATAGAGCATTAACAAAATTCAAAGAAATGAACTGATAAACTTATATTCTTTGCTCATTCATCCATTCATCAATATCCCCTCAAAATAGTGAATTGAACACACAAGATTGATACACACTTAGAATTTGATAGGGTGCAATCACAGACAGAAAATAGCATCCAAACTAGATATAAACTTACTGAAGGTTCACAAAGATATCATCTTCTACAGGATCTCCTACACCATGGTCAAAAGACGGACAGTACACTGATCCCTTGCAGAAAAAAGAATACCAGATCTTAGAATTTTCACTAGATGAACAGAGCAAGGGAGAGGCAAGCAGAATAATGACCTCCTCTCTTGATGAAACATGATGTTACATCAGAATTCAAGCCCACACAAAATTAACTCAAAAGGCTAAAAAATCCGTTCATGAAGTAAATATTCACTCACCTGATCTTTAAGAGTCTTGAGGCATTCTAGCAGTAAATTGGGGTCAAACGTCCATGGAGCTGATTCAACATAAAAAGATACCAGAGAGAGGATTAAAACTTAAACTAGAAATTAATGCTTAAACTGTGTACAAACTTATTAGCTATCTGCTGTGGGGAAAAAAAGAACTCACCGCCCCTTCTTGCGTGTGCTTCCTTTGGATCCTATGAAACAGGCTGACCAGTTAGTTGTTGGACTGTTACAAAGTTTGAAATGAAATCTGCTAAACACATGCTCCATCCACAATATATGTACCAAGTGTCACTTATAACTCTAATTCAAAAGAAAAAGGCTGAAAAAGTATTTTATAGCACCCAAAGGTGTGGCCTAGTAGTCAATGAAGTGCGTTGAGCAACATGAGGTTTAGTGAACAGACTTACCTGGTACCTATTGGTGGTGGTAGGTATCAAGCTGACCCGGACACCATGGTTATCAAAACATAAAAAGTATTGTTTTATATATGCGTCTCCGCTGTTGTTGTTTTTATATTACTCTTCCATCTCTTGTTGAAGTTATTTAATCTTCTCCTCTTGTTTCTTTCATTTCTTTTTTTTCCATTTGGCCTTTTTTCCTTTTTTTTTCTTTTTTCGGATGACTATGGTGTCCGGGCCAGCTTTCACGCACCTCGACTAATTCCACGGTTTACCTTTTGCCTACCACCAGCAACAGGTACTAGGACAGGTGGGAAGAATCACCAAGTGTTTGTCTCCAGTGAGTATTGAACCTAAGACCTCAAGATTCTCAACCACTGCATTGACCACTAGGTCACACCCTAGGGTGCTTTTGTTGTTGTTATTGTGTGGGTTAAGGGTGGGGGTGGGGAGGTTAAGTAGGAAACAAGACTAACTCAACATTTGTCCTTTGTCCTGTCTTATATCTAGAGTAGTCGAAACCAGCTAACAATGCACATCAAGCAACAAGGCTTTGTCCATTTTTCATAGATTCAAATGTTTTGACCAAAAATAAAGAAATTGCAGTCAAATGAAGCAATATGAATAATAAGAAACCATTACGAAATCCTACCTCCATTGCATCAAGCTGATGACGATAAAGGTGGAATCCATCCATTGGAAGAACAATAGCAACTTCTGGAGGCTCAACTTGAGAATCAAAGGAACGAGACTTTTGGGGCCATAACTTATTGACTCTCTTAACTACTTCAGATGCAACAGTGCTCTTTCCAGCACCGGGAGGGCCAGCAAGACCAACAATATGCCTGCATAATTAGGAAAGTTGTTCTCCTTAAGAGACCTCTTTGAATCAGCCAACATGCCAATTTAGTTGAGTGTTTGTTGATAATAATAGCAGCTTGTAGTTATAAAAGCCATGAAGCACAAGCAATGTGAAAAAAACAGAGATGACAGAAGTAAATAATACAAATATCAAGAAAATGATACTTTTTAATATACATAAAAGCAAAAAATATGCATATTTGAGTCAATGAGTAGATGTTTGTAGCCATAAACATCATAATCACTAAATTAAGATACACAATTCTACTCATTTAAATGATTCAATGCATGTTATGTTATCTAGACTCAGAGATGTGTTTTATATTATCGATATTGGCTCAACTTCCAATTTTGAAACTCAGACATGCATATTTTTATTATTGAGACTGACTCACTGCTGATTTAGGGACTATGATATTTATGTATATTCACTCTGTTATTAACATATTTACACAGATAAAAGAGACATACATTCTGGTTGTCACTTCTTGGGGGTATATCTTCTTCTTTCTTCTTCCTTTTTTTCCCCTTTGGGAGTACAGACTACAGGGTCTGTCGTCTGAGTCTCGCTTTTCCTTTTCTCTATGGCACAGGTCATATTATTCCTCTATTGGATACATCTCATTCACATAACCAGCCAAATGCTAGAGGCAGACTAGAAATAGCAAAATTTAAAGGAATCATCTCTTCTTCATTTTCCCTATTCCAGGTCTCAGTCAGTATTTAGTAAGGCCTTAAAGTTAGGAAGTGATGTAATTCAAAATAAACCATGGTTATCTTGAAAAGCCACAAGTAGCAACCGAGATTTCGGCTTTGAGATGCAGATAAGCATCTAACAGCTTTGCAAAAGGACAACTTACTTGAAATTAGGGCTTGATGCTGCTGCTGCAGTTGGAACAAGGTGTTCAGCCAAAGCATCATATATGTCATCCATGCACCTACAAGGTACACAAATATGAAGTAAAACATATAAATGCAAATTAATAAAGAATATTACAGTTGTATAAGGTGGACAAAGCTAAACTTTACCCATCACAAGGGAAGATTTTCTCAAGCCGAGTGGGACATGCAACTGCACAGGCTTTATCTTTTAGCATATAGGCAGGAAACACATAATAGCTATGAAATAGCCATATGTAGAAAAGGAGGCATCTACTATCTATTGAAGAGAAAACAGGACATATTCAGTCTAGATTGTTTCAACCTTTCCAGTCAGAGACTGATTTGTTTCCGGAGTTGAGCTATCCTTTTAAAGTAATAAGTAGTCTTGCTGGTAGCACAGATAAAGGCCTACTATGTGAGAAATCATATTGAGGATAGGATTAGGCAAGACCAAGCCAATAGAAACAAAAATACAACAAACAAAAAACAAACAACTAATATTAAGTGTCAACCACAAATGGACGTGGCCTGGTCTTGCGATGTAGTCCATGTATTATACAAAGAAAATCTTATAGACAGGTACAGCTCATATCAATCTATACCATCATTATTCAATACTAATTCTCCTCCTCTATCACTCCAGATGCCTTTTCATCCTCTTAAAGTCTCTTTTAACTTTCCTGCATTCACATTCCAGCATGAGACCATTGTACGAGCAATATAAACTCCTATAATTTAACTTGATCAATCTACACAAAAACAAAAAAGGAGTCCACAAGCTCGGTGGTTGCTTGCGTCGTAATATTGGTACTGGTATTTCATCTCCAAGGAACATGAAACACACCAATTGCTCGTCCTACTTTGCAAGCATTAAATAATACACTAGAGTGATTTGTCCTATATCTAAGGAAGAACTACATCTCCATTTGTCATAGGCCTGTTCAGAACTGAATGAATGAATGAACACTAGGCCTGCCTGAAAAAATGCAATAGTGCAGCATGGTCACCATACTGTTGACCAAATATTGAACAGAGATGAGTCCCACAACATTGGGAAGTTCTTTCGCACATATGCCTCAGGAACGATGCCAGTAAAACATAGTTGGTATAGAATTGACAAACTCACTGCAACCAAGTCAGCCAGTAATTCCAGAAAGAGCGAGTGTCTAGTTTTCATATAAATTATATTGAGAATCCCAGTCCATATAATCAGACAGTTAGTTATGAAGAGGTCCCTAAATGAGCTGCTCGTGCTAATAACTTGACTTGCACAACCAGGAATGCAGCTTAGAGAAGTGCATATGGCCCTATCCAATTCAGAATATACAACGACATGTCTGAAATTGAGTAAAGAAATGAGGCAAGATCCTATCTTCAGTTCTTCACTCATTAAACGAGAAAATGAATGCTATAAATTGATGTATATGGAGCCACAGAGTGATTAAAAACATCCAGAACTTTTGCAGTGTCTATTCATAGAAGAAACTATTTCGAATTTCGACCTTCTTCCATTAGCTTCAACCACCAGAAACAATAGAAAACACGCTATGAGATGACACATAACCCACTTAGTCAGCTCTTACGAATTGGAGGTCTCTTTTGGTTGCTTAACAAAGTCTCACAGAAGAATATGTAAAAATCAGCAGTACAAAATGACTGATAAAGAAAATAGCCAGTAAGAAAAAACTAGAGAAAAGCACTTATCATGCCTCACGCCCAATAAATGCTCTTAATAACGAAATCTTGCAAGCAGTATGATCCTACTAGGACAGTATCGTAGGCTGATATAGATAATAGGAGCAAAAGGAGACTGAAAAAGCAATAAAGTTCAACAAGCAAATCCAAGAAACAAAAGAAGGCATTAGGGTACGGCAGAACAGAAATAGTTGAAACTTTAAAGTTCAAAATATTTGTTATGTGGTTTTGGATAGCCAGCATACCCAGCTTCTATGACAGGAATCTCTCTCTCTCGGCTACATGAAACCTGAAAAAGAGATACAAATTACATTTGCAAACTGCACTCATCATCAATGATTTTAAAAACGAGATACTTTCATACATCTAGACAAATATACAGGTCTAATCAAATGAAAACAAAACTGTCTTTATTCCACATCTTCTCAGTTTTATACAAGTCAAGTTATCCATAGAAACTGAACCTGCAACAGACTCCACTTCCGAGTACGAAAACCAGCTTGACAGAGTGAAGTTCCAGTTGCATTCTTCGTGGACAAAGGAGACGCATAACACTTAATCCACACAGGAAAGTCTTCTCTTTTGCTCAACAATGTCTCTGCAAAGCCCAAATTATTGTTTTAAACTATTATCTTTGAAGTATACGTAATATAATGTTCAACTCCGGCTGTCAACACCAATCCAAACCCCAGATAAAAGAATAGTCCGTCGAACACCCTTCACCCAAAAATTATCCTCCGAATATAACGTCTAAGTATTACTTTTCACACTTACATATCCATATGTTAGATTTTGAACACTCTTTGCAGAAACTCGCCACAATTGGCAACATAAAAGGCGAAATTGGCACCGGAATAATTTTATTCTTTCAATTGCTTATCTGTATTGTTCACTACGATCGCATACATTTCCATAATCGAAAATTTTAATGTTAAATATACAATAATTGCAACAAAAATTATTTAGCAAACGGAAATTGATCAATAAATGGAATCAAGAGTATAGCAGTTGAACAATATGATTTTTGTTGAATTATTATTAATCTATAGTAATTATAGAGTAAATTTAAATCCTAAAAACCTGAAAATGGATATCGGAGTTTCGTGAAGGTCGCCGGGAACGATGAAGCCTCCATTGGAGCAGTCGAGATTTTTCATTTTCAGGACAATATATCCCTTATGTTTTGGGGGTAAAACGGTAATAATCCATTAACTACGTACGTCACCACTTGGATCCTTCATCTTTACCAAAAGTGTTCACTTTTGCTCCTTTTGATTTAATTTGACACACTTTTAAGAAAATAATAGATAAAATAATAATTTTATTGTTATAAAATGAAAATAATAAATTAAAATTAAGAAGAGTAAAATAAAGGAAGAGAAAGTAATAGTACTTCATCTAATTCATAAAGAATAACCTGATTTGATTTGACATGAATTTAAGAATATGAAAAAGATTTTTGTATCTTGTGATCTTAAACTAAAGTTAGATTTAAATGTATAAAATTACTCTTTGATCTTATGACCTTAAATATGCCACGTGGAAAGTTGAAATTAAAATATTACTAAAAAAGAAAATGATCATTCTCTTTGAAACATACTATAAAAAAAAGAGATCATTCTTTTTTAAACGGACAAGTAATAACTTTTCTTTCTTATTGAATGTTTTTACTTCTTCTTGTTCATCTTTCATATTACAAAGAGAAGATACATATAGGCTAAGAAATTTAGGCACGAAGTTACTTGGCCACGAAGTTTACTTGGGCACAGAGTATATATATTATGTGCACATCTATTTATAACTCCAGCTTGAATATTCAAGTAAAAATAAATTTAGTGAAAGAAAAAAAAGAGTTCAGTAGTACGCATTGTTTGTTGCCTCACTAAAAATTTTTATCATAAAAATTCAATGGGATAAAATCTGGTTAAGAAAAAAAGAGTTCAGTGCGTATTTGCTTCCCCTAAAGAAAACATTACCTAATATCTTGAAAATGACATATTCCGACCTTGTAATTCACCTTCTCAAAGATTGAAGTTAGCAATGTCTTGGTGAATACGATTCGTTGAACATTTATTTCATTCTTATTTCGAAGATCATGAGTAAGAAGAAGAAATTCACTAAAATATATTTTGATTAGTCTTCATTGATTTGTCCTCCTCTTAGTTGAGCACATGCAATATTGTCTTCATATAATGTTGTTGAAATATCTCTTTTCAAAGGAAGGCTACATATTTTTTGGATATGTTTATAGATCTCATCCAATTATATTTTGACGATAACTTAATATCTGATCTTGTCAATTTAGACAAATTGCTCACTTGAATTTTAAGTAGCAACAACGAAGCACTGAAAGATACTTTCACTTGTATGATAAGTAAATTGACTGTCTTGTGGAATAATTTGATATGACAGTATCCCGACATGAAAATAAATAATTTTCTTCAAGTCAAACTTCATAATCTCTTGCAATTTGACGGGCAATAAATATTGACACAATTGATCTAATAATTTATATTGATATTTAATTCACTGAATATCTCCACTGATAAGCTTGATGTTATATTTTGCATGTATACTAATAAAATTATTTGCTACGAATAATAATAGCAGGATACATAAGTGCATCAATTGCATGATATTTTCTAACCATTTTAATGAGATCCAAATTGATCTTTATGTTATGCAAGCTTACGATCATTGGAGTACTATTCAATGAAACCGTTATACAACCTTTTAAATCCTTCAGGATATTTCATATAATATTTACATTCTAACTAGATATGATATTCATTCATCATGCTTATTCAAGTTTTTCATATATTGTTAGATAAATAGAAACCTCATTACATCCATCTTAAGAGAATACGTCTCCGTACAATAACGCCAGGACTTCTGCGAAAAGTCTTTATTTTCCAACGCACTAGCTATATTTTATATTTTACGATTTTACTTATCGCACAATAATTTATTTGTACCCCATTAACATTATATATTAGTATATGACATAGTCCAAAACATCACTTTTCAAAGTCAAAATGAAATATACTTGAATCGTAATTTCTTCGGTCAACCATTTATCTGTCAACTTTCAACAGCTTAATATCAAGATCCTAGTCACCATTTATAATTTTGAGCGCTAAATTATGTTAGAGACATCGCCGACGATTTATTTGATATCGATTCTAATATAACATAACTTATCGAGCTCTCTTTATTTTTCATCATTTTCAAATATCTGAACCTCTGCCAAGGTTTTATGAAGTGTTATGTCATGGTACTTTTTCTAAAGCACCTGCCTCATTATTATGACCATCTTAATCATTTGTTCGTCTTCTTTGTAAAGAAGTTTCATCTTTTGAATCAATTTATCTATCACACTTTCGGCGTGTCATAATTTTGTCCTTCAAGGATCCTTTATTTAAACATTTATAAATGAATTATAACATATGATCAGAATATGTATGACAATTGACTTAAGTTATATTTTCAACGAGGACATATCATATGCATAAACTTATTTCCAGTTGCTTATCATCTCCCCCTAATGTTAGAGAATCCAACATTCACCCAACTTTATTTGGGAACTCATCTTTATGCACTATGTAGTGATAGAGCAATTGAATAATATATCACACATTTAAACTTCTAGATGAGAATTATTTGGTTTCTGACCCTGAACCAATTCTGATAAGGGAACCTTGTTGGCTTGATACATACAAGTATTGTTATACTTCAAATAACATCATATACCAAATTTCTTTTGGAGTTGTGTTCTCATAACCAATGATTAGCTATAATCTGAGGCATAAAAATCACTTCGAGCAAATAACCTTTGCAAAAATCAAATGGCAAGTTGATAATAAAACACATGCGACCATAACATAGATGCATATATATAATAATAGTAAATGATCCACATGACAGGTGAATGGACTCATATTCACCTTCTTCTTTTTTATACATTTCAAAATTTTGGGAAATATAATCTCAATCTTATCTGGTGCAATGATAATTTTATCATGAGAACCAATAACACAAGAGGATTTTGAATTTATTATTTCTTTCATATATATAACCACACAAATTTTTATTTATTTTCGTATCATACTTGAATTGGGATGGTCATTAATCGGTCATGCCAACTGATATTTATTTCAATAAACTTCTAGTTTATTTTGCATGTGATTCCATCATCATGTTCATACTTAGTTACCACAAACAACATTCAAATATGGGTAAAATTTCACATAAATATTTATAATCCACTTTGATTGTAGTAATATGAAGATCTTAAATCTTTCCATATTTTATATCTCAATATTTTTCTTTTGACTATTCTTTGAAATTTAAAAAGTTTCTTTCAAGACTTCCTACAAATTCAATATCATGAACAATTTTATTTATTTAAGTAGTAGCAATTATAGCTCACCAAAGGTCACAATTAACGTTGGATACCACCACATACTTCATAACATTGTTTGTGTGGTAAGCATCTCTTTCAAGGGAAAACTTATATCATCATTGTCATGGTCAAAATCATTACAAGTAGAACTTGTTTCTTGATTTTACTTTTGTTATTAGTACCTCCTCCCTTTTTATTTAAAACCTGAAAAAGTATTTTTTTTAGGTGTACAAAGATACATAATCAATGACGATTTTTTTTTGTGACAAAAATTATTTTCTTCTTTTGCCCTTTTGATAGTTCATAATAAAACATACCATGATATTTGTGATGTGATAAAAGTACTTGACCAATGATCTTTTCTATCAAAATAATTCTTCTTTATTTCTCTTTAACCTCCCTTCGGGGTTTTTCAAATCATACATGGGTATGTCCTTATATATAATTTTATCATCTCTTGACATATTTATTTTCAGGAATGGTCCACATTTCATAGTACGTATCACAAGTCACATTCTTTTCAAGGAATTGACTATAATCATAAATTCATGCTTCATAATTATTCCTTTTATTAGAAGCTTGTTGTCATGCTATAAAATTTATCATATTGAAATCACTTTTGAAAGTAAAGTGTATCACCACTTTTTCATCCTTCTCTTTGGTGAAGGATTTATAAACTTATCAAATTATTAGGTCTTATAGCAAACATGTTTCTAATGACCGTTCATATCATTTGATGACAAAAATTACATCAACTCTTTAAAAGACCATTTTGAGAACTCATAACGTTCTTTCTTTTATAATTGTCACAATGATGAGTATTATTATTTTTTTCATTCACGTCCATATTCATATATCCATAAAATAATTTTGTCATCTTTCAGAGTTTTATTGTATTGCTATCACATTTACTTAAATGAACGAAACATATTCAGTGGGATGAACGAAACAATTTTTAGCAAGAGCATATCTATTTGCTCGATTATCATTATATGTCAATATATTGCATTGAGACTTTAGCCCAATGTTTTATCTATATAAAGGCGTGTTAGGCCAAAATATGAAGGGACTTCGACCCAAAATCTTATCATCATCGAGACTTTAATCGATATCGTACCTTTTTTGGTGCGATCAAATTTGAATCCACCATTTTATTCAATAAAGACATTATATGTAGTCAAAAATAAAATTTATCCTTGAGCTTTTAACATATTGTCACTTTGCTATTAATAATAATAATACTTCAAAAGATCATATATGAAATTATTACTTTTAGAGTTTGATCATCGCAAGTAGCTCTAATACCATTTTTCTACTTGAAAGTTTTTATTAATAATTCACTTATTAATAAGTTTTGAACAACTCTTTAAGAACTTTTGTTATTAAATAATCGTTAGATTCAAATAAGAGATATGATCATATTGTGACATAAAATTTACTCATAATTAAATGCTTGATAAAATACATATTCGATACTTATCATATCGAAAGATCTCTCAAATTTTGCGACTCATCTCATGTATATTTTTAAGATAGGTCAGATACTCGTGCTCATAACATGCTATAAAATAAAAATATTAAATTGAAATTAAGAAGAGTAGAGATAGAGAGAGACAAAATAATAATAGTAGTATTTAACTTTTCTTTCGTTATTGAATGTTTTTACTCCTTGTTCATCTTTCATATTACAAAGAGGAGATATATATAGACTAAGAAACTTGGACACAAAGTTACTTGGCCATGAAGTTTACTTGGCCACAAAGTTTACTTGGGCACAAAGTATATTGTGTGGACATCCATTTTACAACATTTATTATATTAATTTTAATTATTACTTTCTCTATTTTATATTTCATGTCTACAATATTAAAATATTTATTTTACTTTACTTGTTGATTTATAAACTCAACATAAGATTAATAAAATATTTTCTCGATTTATCCTAAATTAATTCTCTTTTAAAATATAAATATTGTAGAAATTTAGATTAAATATCTTGATGACGTTCATCTCAATATTAACCTACATAACTCACTGTCTATTTGAGCAATATGACCTCAGGTAAGATCTCCACATCATCTTTGCTTGCCTTAGTTGAATGTAAACATTTCATTTGATTTAATCTCAAGCAATATTTTCGGACTTTTGTTAGCATAAATCATTCTTTGTTCTTTTTTTTCTGTTATAGCCCATTTTGCCAGGAAAATTTGGTGGTTTGGATATTAGAAATATTGATTTCTGTATCATTTTTCATTTCTTTAGTTGTAACCTGGCTTTGATATCACATTGTCGTGTCATTAGTTTTTTATTAAATACACATGCAATTTTTGACAACTCACTCATAATTTTGTTATGTCAAGTCAGTCTAAGATATTAGAAATTGCTAAAAGAATTGCAAGAAAAAATTGTATTACAGAAGAACTTGAATTATTTGTTTGATGACTTTACAAATGAATATCCCTTTATTTATACTACTCACTTAGGAGCTAATGAACAAATAATAATTATTGTACAAATCTCTACATATTTACAAATAAGTCTCCTTTAACTTCCAAAATACTAAGCTTAAATATTTCAAGAATCTTTCGTGCAAATCTATGAAATTCTAGAATCTACCATTAAAAATCTCACTATTTCTCTAGAATATTCCACTAATAGTTATATAGCGTTCTGTCAGAAATTTTCAATTTTTTTTGGCAAGTAATGTTTGGATGAAGTTTCACCATGTAAGTGTTTGCCATAGATACGGGAGAAATATTGACTATTTTTTTTTTGAAAAAAAAAGACTTCTATCCATAAGTTCTAAAAATTTTAATAAGTTTGTTTTGTTAGTTATAATGAAAATGTTACATTAAAAAAAATAAAGATGACGATCAACAACAACAAAGACAACAATATGGGCAAGAGCAGTACAATAATCACATACTTAAGCGTGTCACTAATTGAGGATAAATTATAACCTATTGAAAATAAATTGTTCTGTTTAATGGAGTTGGTTGTAAATAGATATTAATTGAAATTAATGATGATGTATTTTGTAAAACATAAAACTTGAGTGATCTTTAGATTTTTCTAGAACTTGAAAACTTGAGATGTTTTACAAATATGTTTGTCAAGTAACGACAAATTATATAGCCAAACACTAATTTTCAAGTTTTTTCTCAAATATATTTATGGTCAAACATCACCTTAGTATTTTTCCTATTTAAGTCTTTCAAATGGACAAATGTGTGATGTAGCGTGCAAGTGACATGATGACTTGGCGGGTCATCACAAATAGTACCTAAATCTAGCAAAAGTTATCCCTTGAATAGTCGTTCGATAAAGTGCATTAAAAAAATAATTATGAATATATAAAAATGTATGTGCGAGTGTGTGCATGTGTATAAAAATTAGCTTTGTATTTTACTAGTTTTTTGTTTCATACACTTTGTTCAACTATGTATAACTAATGTCTAGTTATACACTCTATTTAATAGTAAGTTGTGTATAATTATATATGGAAATCTATGATTGTAGTAATGCAAAGATCTTTAATTCATGCATTAGCATGATTAAAGGTGCTATCCTCAAAACATTTTCACATATTTTTAATCATGTTTGTAGAGGATGTTTTATTAACAATTTATTTTTTTAAGAAAAATATTATGATATATATATATATATATATATATATATATATGTTATTTTTAATAGAGAAATTTTAAAATGGTTATATTTTGGACTTAATTAGAGATCTATAATTATATTATATATATATATATGTTATTTTTAATAGAGAAATTTTAAAATGGTTATATTTTGGACTTAATTAGAGATCTATAATTATATTTTGCATAATTACGATTCATATAGAGTTATATGTTAAAAGGGGAGAAATGTGAGTGAGATTGGGAGAGTGATGAAAGAGGCATACAAGATTTAGGAGAGGGATAAATAAAGGGGAACTTTCACATATAGCCACTTAAAAATAGTCTATTACTCTCCATAGTTATAGTTTAATAATTACAATCTATAGCCACATGTTATTTGGAGGAGAGAGGCGAGCTAGATTAGGAGAGAGAGAGGAGAGAGGCGAGAAAGAGGGAGAAAAGAGCGGGAGAAAGGTGAATTGTATATGTATATTGGTTAGATAATTATATATTATACATATGTATTTATATTTACGGCAAGAGAGACTGGGAGAGGGAAGAGAGACACGAGAGAGACTGGGAGAGGGAGCAGAGAGGCGAGAGAGTGAGGGCAGAGAGTGAGAGAGAGGTGAATTTTATATGTATGTAATTGTCTATTATACATATGCATTTGTATATATGGCAAGCAAGATTGGGAGGGAGGAGTGAGACGAGCGAGATTGGGAAAGGGAGAAGAGAGGCGAGCGAGAGGGGGCAGAGAGGGGAAGAGAGGTGAATTGTATATGTATATAGGTTAAACAATTGTATATTATACATATGTATTTGTATATTCTGGCGAATTATACATATACAAACGTGATTAATTATATAAACTGATAGTCAGTTCATGTAATTAATGTATAATGTTAGTCGCGAGTGGTAAACAAACTATAACTATGATGAGTAATTAAATAATATAAGTTTGCTTAACCGCGTAATTTTCCCATAAATAAATATAACTTTCTTATATTAGGTTATATAATAAATACAATTGATTTGTATCAATAAATATAATTGTATCAAGTGTATCTAGTTCATCTGTATTCATTATGTATCGATTGTATCAACAAATACAATTATATCAAGTCTATATGTTTTTTGTTTATTCACTATGTATCAATGTATTTGAGTGTATTTGTAACTTTATATGTTCCTGGTGTATTCACTATTTATCAAGTGTATCAACAAATATAACTATATCAATAAATATAATTTTATCAAGTTGTATGAACTAATATAATTATAACAAGTGTATATGTTCCTTGTGTATTCACGATGTATTTATGTATTTGAGTGTATATGCACCTGATTATAGATTGCATTGTTGTTTCTACTTTATTTTGTCATTGTTATATATTTGTAATTATATGATTTATACTTTTTAAGAATATGATTGATACAATATTGTATCTCTCCCTCGTTCTGTAATATTAAGAATCGGAATATGAAATCGAAGAGGGAGAACAAACTGAGGTATTCACTATCTCTAACCTGATACAACTTCCTCGCCTGATTTGTATCAATATTATCCCATCTGAACTCACAAGCCCTTTATTGCTTATTAGATATCAATTCAATTGAGAAATAGAGAGAGAAAGAGAGAAAGATCCGCGGGTGTGTGTGTGGTGGTGGTGGTGTGGGGGGGGGGGGAGGCGAGGATTTATGTAATGTAATTATTTTAAGGGAAAAACTTAAATATGTTATCGAACTTTGAAAACAACCTATCTATATCATCCGTTAGAAGTTTGACTCATCTTTAATTTAAGAAAAAGTTCATTCACGCCATTATTTGTTAACTGAAAACAATTTTCATTTTGCAAAATGATTTTTTTACATTTTGTCAATTATGATTCGGCTACGTCATTAATTAACTTTTTTAAAAGTAAAAAGCTTATGTATGTCATCGAATTTTGAGAAAAGACTTGTTGAGGTCATTCGATAAAAGTTTGACTTATCTATGTCATTTCAGTTAATTAATAATGACATGGATGAACCTTTTCTCAAATAAAAATGACATATAAATGAATTTTTTTTCAATGTCTAGTGACATATTTGAGTATATAATACATATACAACACATATTTTTCTATCATATAACACTAAATCAAACACCTTATAAGAATAATCTCTAACATTAACTAATATAAACATAATTTACTAATATACATACTAATATTCAATATCATAATTTCAACGTGCAGCCATCAAAAAGGAACAACTTTGATTACTGACAACTTTAGAAACTATAAATATATTTATTTATTACTTCTAGAAAAAGCTCAAAAGGGTAATTCCCAGGCCCCAGCACCAGATTCACTGTGCAATCTGAAGATCCTTCAGGTCTGCTCTCTCTCTCTCTCTCATATCCATTTGACTTTGTACTGTTGCTTTCTGGTTCTTTTTATTTTTCTGTAAATAGCTCATCAGTGTGTGGAATTGCTAGATTTTGTTAACTTTAGCTAAAAGAAAGCGGATTCAATATTTGAAATTACGACTTTCTATAACTATTATAAGTTAATAAATCGCTTTATTTGGTAAATTTTTTAACTAGAATTTGAACTTGAAGTTTCCATGAATCATTTCTGAACATAATAGATCTGCAAATATTATCAGATTACTAATCATTTCCTTGAACAATTTAGCTTGAGATTATGTAAAGTGGGTATTAATTTTTGAAGTATATTCAATCAGCTCCAAATATTCTTTGCAAAAAAGTATAACTAGACACAACTTCGTTTTCAACTCCAACTCCATAAATTACAAATGAAGTAAAAAATAATTTGATCTATAGACAAATGCATTGTAATTCATTAATTATTGCTATGTTTGACTTGAATTGCCTTAATTGTCTAGTCTTTGTTTGTTTTTTGAGATTGGGAATTGGTATAAGGCTGCTTTTGTGTGCTTCTAAAGGTACCTGGATAACCAAATAAATAGGAAGGAGGTCTTTTAATGGTTATAAATCTGGTCAACAGTAGCTTCATTGCATCTGGGAAATATGCATACTCAATTTGGGATTTTGTATCTCTATAATCATATAAACTTACTTTTATGAAGTGGTTTAGTGAAATCCAGCGATCGATGCATGGTTTACTTTGACTTTACTTGTGAGGCACCAAGTAGTAGCTGAGGCGGAACTAGGATTTTGAGGTTGTGGATTTTGCATTCTAGAAAATACAACTTATTGAGTTCTGGATATATTATATGTATATACATAATAAATGAATTTTTAAACACAAATACAAGATTTGTGCCAAAGCTTCTAGGTTTGGCTGAACTCGCAGACGGGCTTGTAGATCCGCCCCTCATTAGAATAACATTTGTGAACTGAAGGATACTTTTATTGGATTCTTTATCCATCCTAGCCGGGATAATGACTGAGCCAAGGTTTCAATAAGTACTATATGTAGTGTAACAGGTTGACGGTTGATGATGTGTTAGGTATTTACTCACTTCTATCTAATTATGACTTATTCATTACCCTGTTTTCTGTTTTAAATCATTTGACTAAACTAAGCTCAAGTTGGCCGATGCTTATTGCTGCAGTTGGTTGGGATAAAACGGGTAGTTGATGAGAATTTTTGGTAGGAAAGAAAAGGCTCAGATTGGTCATCTTTTCCTTTCGATGTCAAAGTTAGCTGGCTAGGAGAAAGAAGAATGAAATTCCGAAGTGTTTATCCCATATAGATGGTTTTGGAGCATAGTTATACTTGTCACTTTTGCTTTTGAGGTTGGGATGTCAAGCGGGATAGGTGTTACTAGCAGCTTAGATCCTAGATGTTCCCTTAGGAAAAGCGGATAGGTATTACTAGTAGCTTATATGCAAATCAATGAAATCATTGTTCCATATTACACATAATCAGATGTGGGACAAGTTCTCATTTCATTTAAAAACATATAGGTTTAGTTTGAAACATGCCAGTCGAAGTAGTTAAAAGATACTCATCTCATGACTCGAATGCTACCTGAAAGCTCATACCTAAGAGAGCATACATATGAAACAAGTATGTAATCCATATCTCAAGTAAGGTAGACATGCACCAAAATAATATCAGACTCATAAGCATGTCTCTGAGTAGTGCTGGAAAACGAGCAGATAGGTCAGATATGGGAGGGTCAAAAATGGATTGGCAAAAAATAGATAATATATCTGATATATCATATTTCATACGGATAAAAAATGGGTTGAGTGACAGATAATACGGGTACCGATAATATCCATGTGGTAAGTTAATACAAATCAACCTTGTTAGGTTCATTTTGGTTCTACTTGGCAGCTCTAGCTTAGTTAAGTTCCGTGCTTAGTCATTTCTACAGAAATTGTCAAATGTGACTATGTCAAAAGCTCTATGTAAAAATTTGTTTTTATTTTGCATTGATAAATGATGTACGATATGTATACTCCACGAAAGAGCCATTTAGTTTCTTCTTCTCTCCTAGTTCCTTTTTTGGGTGTAACCTTTGCCAGGATCAGGGAATATTAGTACTATTATACCAATCTACAGGAGGAGTTGCAGTAGTACATCTTCTCAGTAGATTGAAGAAGAGCTTACTCCCTTAGTTTGTGGTCTATTAGCATAATTAACCGCAGTCCACAGAATATTATTTGATTTTTTTGTTTCTTTTGAATGAATTGATTTCAGTGTATCTAACTGCAGTGTTTACTTTGTATGGGAAGTTCCCATCAGAATATTAACCTTAAAGAGTGGTTCAGGCATCAGTGGCAGTAGCTTCAGGTAAAGAGAAAACATACTGGAACTACTTGTTATAAGGGGAAGTTCAAAAGGAATTATCCAACCCAATCAGAAGTTTGAGTTAAGGCGCTGTGCTTTGTGCTCGGAACTTCTATTTCTGTAGAAGCATATTGCTGATATGTCATTACACAGCTTCTAAAACCTGTTTATTATTTTCAATATGAATCCTTAAAATGAGTTCTGTGCACATGGACAGAGTTGTTGATTAGGCACTTATGGTTTCAGTTCTGTGCACATGGACAGAGTTGTTGATTAGGCACTTATGGTTTCCTGAGCTCTAGCAAATATAACTTACAAATAAACCCGCTCTACATGATTAGTATGTAGCTGTGAATACAATTCAAATTACTGCTATATCAGCTTATCACAGTGTTTTTGCAGAGCTTTTGACAACATTGAACATATTCTTACACAATGGGGAATCAAGAGTCTGCCTTAAATGACGCTCATAGTGATCATTATCACCACAGCCCAGAACGTGTAAGAAATCATATTGGCTCCAATCCTCAATATCATCCTACTACATATGCAGAAAGCTCCATGGATTCTAACTATCAAGCTCAAGTTACATCATACACCGGGGGTTCAGATAGAGCAAACTATCAAAGGAACCAGCAAGCCTCTTACATAGCTGATAACTTTAAATCTTTGGATGAGGTTAATTTCTTAATAACGTGTTCATTCTATTTTTATAGAGTTTCACAGAACATCTGATGGTGGCCCAAGTGGGGCCATCAGATGGCAATGAACAAAAAATGGCAAGTTCGCGTTGTTCTCCTTAAAGATACCATCTTTTGTTTGCGTCAAGTAATTTAGAGATTCTTGTACTTTGCACGTCAACCTTTCACCTCTAATGAATTATGATACTGAACAAAGAAACAATTTTGTCACTATTCTTAATCATAAATCTTGTATTTCAACATTTGAAGCACCACATATTCTATGAAGGTATACTACTTTACTTTATTTAGAGAAAATATCTTATGTCGTAAAGCTCATGGTAGAAGCTAAAATAGTTACATCTCAAATCAAGTACAATTGTGCATTGCACATTCACAGGTGCTGTCAGAAATATTAAGTGTTGTACTTTGTGTAACTTAGATCTGTACAACCTCTAGAGAGCTGCTGGTCGTATTACATTAGAATATGTAGACATTGTTGTTTTCTATTTAATTTTATCAGTCAAAATAGCTAAAGATAAAAATAGCCCACACTAAACTTATAGAACTAGTATTCTGAAAGATGATAATTGGAAACATTGTTTCATTGTTTGACCATTTTCTCTTGTTAGAAACTTAGAATTGACAGATCAACTTAGATTAGGCAACAAGTCAACAGTGAATCGGTTCATGTTGAGTTCCTTCTTTTATTGCTTACTTTGTTAATGAACTGTAGTAGCTAGACTTTTTAGCAATGTAATATATAAATAACAGAAAGAGTTTCTATGTCAGGTTGTTACCGCATTGCGAGAAGCAGGCCTTGAATCGTCAAACTTGATTCTTGGAATTGATTTCACCAAAAGCAATGAATGGACAGGTGAACTACTTCAATCACTAAACTATTAGCCATTGTGTTTGTCTCAAGTTGTGGAGGTGATGGGTTGACAACTTCGAGGTTGTAGGGAAGTCTTCATTCAACAGGAGAAGCCTCCACTCAGTTGGTCACACAGCCAACCCATACGAGCAAGCCATCTCTATAATTGGGCGAACCTTGTCTCCTTTTGATGAAGACAACCTGATACCATGTTTTGGATTTGGTGACGGTTAGTTTTTGTTTCTGAGACTTAATTTTTTCACAAACAATAAAGATGGTTTCAAATAGCCTTGATCATGGGTTATTGTCTCTGTAAATTTTAGCAACCACACACGATCAGCATGTGTTTAGCTTTTACCCTGATCATCGGCCTTGCGATGGATTTGAGGAAGCTCTTACAAGATATAAGGAAATTGTTCCTTATCTGAAATTATCAGGTTTGAGCTGAATACTGCTTTCATAATATCCTTTATTCTAGAGATGGATAGGGGTAATCTGTTTGGTTCATACAGTATTTGTTATGATTGGCTGCCTTTATGAATCTTAAATCATTAGCTGCCTTTATAAATCTTAAATTAGTAGCGGTGGCGTTCCATAGTCATATAATGTGTCCTGTTGTTAACCTTGTAAGCTAAACTCTCAAAAAAAGTAGAGATTATCTCATCCATCCTATGTTTGTCTTTCATTGACAGTTAATACTGTGGTGTGGTACTTTTAATGAACTCCTGATTTATAGATGGTGCATCTCTTTACGTTGTGGAAAATCTGATTGGAAAAATAGGAACGAACTTTATTGATTCTAATTTGCTTAGTGTTTTTGGAACTCAGCTTTTTAAATATACTTGACTACATCTTATATGTACACGAGCAACAATTAATGACTATGATCTTATTATTTCCAATGATATGTTAATTCTCTTAATACTACACTAACTTTCTTATCTCAAATGTTACATTAGCTCTTACTATCATTTCCTAAGCTCTACAAATTGCTGATATATTCTACAGCATTTACACTAACTTATGATATCATCCGAGTTGTTGGTGGAATACGAGTAAGGACCAACACTCCCAGTTGTGATGGGGTTTCACCAATGATTAACTCTTAGCTTATTTTTATTTGCCTTGGTGAAGAATGAACCGATGTTGCATATCCAAGGGGAGGTTCCATGGTATATGCTATTTGCAGATGACTTAACATTGAGCAGCGGAGTTGATGGTAGGCTGGAAATTTGGAAAAAAATTTGGAGTCTAAGATTAAGACAAAGTACTTGGAGTGGGAGACTCGGCGGAGTTAACGATTGGCTGGAGATTTTGGGAAAAATCTTGGAGTCTAAGACTAAGTACTTGGAGTGGAAGTTAAGTGACGTGACTTACGAGGTAGATGTGGAACTGAATATCGATACACAAGTCATCTCCAAGAGAGGAAGTTTCAAGTATCTTGGGTCAATAATTGGGAATTTCAATACGGGGCCCAACATCGGGAAACAAGAATTGGGATGGGCCCTACTCTAACACCATGCAAAGAAATGGATCTTGGACCTAACTCAACCCCAAAAGCTAGCTCATGAGGATAGGATTGTTCAAGACCATATAAAGAAACCACCCGTCCCTTAAACCATCGATGTAGAACTCTTCACAGATATATTTTAGACTCATGGATCTCCTGTAAATTTGGCTCCCAACACAGATTCTGTGCTGATGAATATACTGTTACCATTATAAAAAAAATAAATTGTCTGAGGTATTGTTTGTGACAACAACATTATGAGGAGTAGATTTGCGAAGATTTCGTGTTTAGAGAGGGTGGGGAAACTTATGATAGTATGGTTATCCAGTTTTGGCAAGAACTAATACAACAACCACACCTCAGTCTCGAGCAAGTTTGATTAGGTTATATGAATCTTCACTAACCATGTTCCCCAGTTTTTGCAAGAATTATGTTGGAGTTACAAATCTAACCAATCTGAACTAAACTGCAAAGGTTATCGATATAACAAATACGAGATGTATAATATTTTCTAGAAAATTGAACCCAAGGTTTTGATGGAGCCTTAATGTTACTCTTGGACTAGGTCCGCCTCATTTTTGTGTTTCTTAATACTATTGCATCATGTGATTGTTTGTTGTTATCTGATGAATTTCCTTTATGAAATGCTCCCGCTTGATATGTTTATCCAAACTCATCTGAAAAACATGTAGGTCCAACTTCATTTGCCCCAATAGTCAATGCTGCAATTGATATAGTGGAAGCAAATAATGGGCAGTATCATGTCCTTGTCATTATCGCAGACGGACAGGTTCATATCTTCTTGAAAATAATTTGACTCCTTTGAATTCTTCCTTGCTTCATCCATAGTTATTCCATATTCTAAAAACAGGTAACAAGGAGTCTTGACACTCCACATGGAAGCCTTAGCCCTCAAGAACAGGCTACAGTAAATTCCATTGTTGCTGCTAGGTAAACAGGCAACCTTTCTTAGAAGTTAATTTATAGTGCCATTCTCCTGCCTAACTTGACATGCTTTCATGCAGTGAATATCCTCTTTCAATTATTCTCGTTGGTGTTGGAGATGGCCCATGGGATGAAATGAAACGGTTTGATGATAACATTCCACAACGGGCATTTGATAACTTCCAGGCATGACTGAAATACATTATTTTTCTTTGCTTCCATCTGTTTATCATGTCTGGTTAAACCAATTATGCTTCACTTTTCATCTGTTCTAGATATTTTTATTTTTATTTTCATTCTGGATTTTACAGTTACGATATTTGTGGCTATGAAGCTTACCTTTCATCCTTTTTCCCTTTAGCACTAACAGAGTGAAGATAAGTCATAATCCTACCATGTTGTAATACCCTCCTTTTATTTTTTACAAGCTTGATTGCTGGTTCTCATATTGGTCGATATCACCTAAGAAACAATTGCTAACTTGCTGCCCAGTTTGTCTAGCGTATCTGGCAAAAAATTTTATAAGAAGACTATACCTTTTTCTATAGGAGGTTATCATTCAGTGATTGCTAGCTGGTTCAAATATTTTAAACAGATACCAAAAAAGTAATTTATTGTCAAATCTGAGGGATGAATTGAAGCTGATTTCGAATAAGAGGATTTGCAGGAATCTTCTCTAAATAGCTTGTGACATCTGCCCAATACACACTACTGTTACTTTTAGGGATTTTTGCTTATATTTTCAACTACTGCGCCACATAACCTGTCTGCTAGAGGTTTCCATGCTTTTATGAAGGATTATGCTTCCAACTTCTAGGCGTCTTCTTTACACTCTCCCCTCCCCCCCCCCCCCCCAACTGCTGTTAGTTGTAAGCCTGAAAAAGGGTAAACTACTTAAAAAGAAGAGAGAAAAAAAACAGAAAGCATCTTTGCAATCTTTGTTGTATCAGGAAAATGGTTTGCTGCAATGCTTCCGTCCGGCACTATAATCTGTTAAGAGAATACAGTAACAAACTTTTTTTTATGTGATGGTGCTAAAGAGGGATAGTGTTGTCAAGAGAATATGAAGTTTGGTAGCGAGGAGTCAGAACTGTGATAGGCGAGAAACATGGTATAGAAAAAGGGGACATGAACAAGTGGCACAACCTAATGAGTGGACACCATGAAACTACAGATTGATATAGAAAAGTAGATGATTTGCGAATTACCAATTTTTTTTTTAAAAGAAAAGATTTCTTGAGTGGTTGGTGATGGCAGAAGAATTTATCTCTGGGATAAACATTGGTGCACAGTGGATGTTTTCAAGCAGACTTCAGTTGAACAAAAATTTAATGGTAGCTGAATTTATTAACTGAAGGAGGATCCGTGGTTTTGGACTGCAAAGTTATGAGAAACTTGCACGACTAGCAGAAGATGGAGGAAGTTGTCTATAAATTTGCTTCATTCCTTCAATTTTCAAGAGAAAGACAAGGGTTCGTGAAGAAATATCATTGAAAACAATATCTGAAAAAAAAATGCTCTGTTGGATTAGAGCTGGCAGGATCATGTTGTGTCCATTTTCTCTATGTACATCATTTTCAAATGTAAGCAAGCTTCAAATTGCGAACTCAATAGTTCCTAGGGAAATCACTTTTATCTTTGTTTGGACAATCATGGGTGTCGTTCTTGCTGCTGAGATTTTCAGAAGAGAGATACGATCCTTGTGATCTGGTGCTTTACATGTAAGGGAGTTTGAAGGAGGCTCATCCTCGTTTTTTCCCCTGTAATTCTGCAATGAAGTTGTGGTTGGAGATGCTTTAACAATTTTCCGTTTGGTTCATGCCAATAGGGTAAAACAGCTGATGTGCGTTTGGAATGTCGGAGAATTCAGGTGGAGCAGATTTTAACAGAAGGAAAGCATGGAGGCTAATTCTCATGCTACAAAATGGACTGAACTTTTCTGTTTTTTTTTTTGTTTTTTTTTTTTTTTGGGGGGGGGGGGGGTATAATTGGCCCCCGTTTTATAGACGATTAAGTTCGCTTTTTGGAAGAAAATGATCTTGCACAGTCCTTTCATATGCGACCTTCCTGTAGGGCGTTATTTCTTCTTCTAGCGGTGAAAGTTTTGATGCTAATCAACTTCAGTTTCCTAATTATTTGTGTACCCACTTGTAGTTCGTTAATTTTACAAAGATCATGTCTGAGCGTTCAGAGATGGCCAAGAAGGAAACAGCCTTTGCTCTTGCTGCACTAATGGAAATTCCATTTCAGTACCGAGCCACACAACGCCTTCGATTCAGGGAGTGAGTAGCATCTATCTTTGTGTATATTCTTCTTGCAAGGTGAAAGCATCTACGTGATGCCTAACTTTTTTAAAACTTGTTATTTAGAAGCAATAGAGGCCCTCGTACAAGGCCATTACCTCCTCCTCGTGAAGTAATTGATCATGACGTTGCTGTCAAATCAGTACCACATGTGACAAGCTATGAACCTGTTGACTCAGGAGCTGCAGAACAAGTAAGTGTTTCTGTTATATGGTTCTTTCTCTTCTTGTATAACTCAATGTTCGTAAAAGTCTGTTTTCTTCGCTCTGTTTATTTTTCTAAATAATGTTTTCCCTTTTTCTTAAGGTTTGTCCTATTTGCTTGACAAACCCAAAGGACATGGCTTTTGGATGTGGTCATCTGGTAAGTGATTATAGAAGTGACACTTAACTACTGTTACTGTTGAATCTAATCTTTATAATTAATCTATGGCATAATCTTTTTAAGTTTACATGAGACGTTTGACCACTATAGTTTCAGCTTATAATCTATCATATAATTTTAGAATGTCTAAATGAATACTTTTTCCAGAATTGCAATAACATTATGCTGCTTAGATCAATTCATTTTCCGTAAAGAATTGTGACAAGAAGGATCTCATTATTGAATGTAAGACAAAAATGGTGGAAATTAAAGGCCAGAGATAACATGTTTAGTTTGCAATTCATTTTGCTCTTCCGTATCCAATCTTTTATAAGAAATCCTTAAGAGTGTCATTAAACTGTGAGAGTATCAAAAAGAAAAATAATAGTGCTACATGTCCTACTTAATCGTGCATATCCTACCAGAATAACACACGATGCTGCTGAAACGAACTTTTGATGCACTGTTAGTTCATCTTACAGTAGCAGAAAGAAGAGAGATACTTCGCTTGAAATAGAGATATCTCTATATACCATTCACCTGCACCTATAGAATGGTGGTTTTCATGGCTACGGTTATCCTAAGGACCTTATTTGCTCCAAAGCATTCTTTTGAAGTTTGGACAGTAAGCACATCTAACCTTGTGACTTCAGAGATTTGATGTGTGCCCTATTTGAATGATCATAACGTTTAGCATATTTTCGAGGTCACTTGGTATGATAGGTTCCATGTTTAGTGCTTTCTTTTGTCCTAGTACTCATTCTGCCACTGATTCTCATGTTCTGAATGCGCCTAGTTTTTTCTATTAACATTTGAATCACAGATTATCTACAACTCATATTCTAGACCAGGTGATGACTAATGAATATCTTTCATTGTATTTTCAGACATGCAAGGAGTGTGGTGCCACGATACAATTGTGTCCTTTATGTCGAGAGCCAATTAAAACTCGCATAAGACTATATAGCTAGATGCCAGAACTATCTCCTGAACTACCTAAGCTCCACAGTTGCTCCAGGATTTCAACTAAAGATGTATTTCTGAAGGTGTAAACTATTCTTTGTAAATGAGCCATAACCTATGTATAACTTATATGGAGTTCTACACTTATCCCATTTTTTTCGTTTATGCACATTTTTAGTGTCTCTATAGCAAAATGTACATAACTAAATAAAATGTATGATAAACTTGTATGTGGATAGTTGGATATTCTTGTCACTGATTCTGCTACCTCTTTTGTTTTGATGGAAACAAAATTATCCATGCTAGTAAAATTGTCAATCATCTTTTGGCACAATAAATATATGACCAAACGATGTTACTATATATCAAAAGACTTGAAATATTAAGAGGAACTCTATCTAAATTTCGGAGGACATTTGAGTTGGTTGGGATTGTGAAAAAATCTATGTGCAATATGTAGCTTATTATATTGACAACATATATAGATGTGTATCTATCTTTGATACATAACTATACAGTATTTGTACAATATCAATCATATATTATTATAAGTGGGAAGCTTCAAATTTAAAAGTTGAATCACTATTTTGCTCTTATTTTATCTCTAAACTAAATAAATATTAATATATAATTAATTTAATGTTAAATAATTTTTTTTCTTTAATTTCATGCCTCTAGACACAATGGTTCAAATTCTTTTGGGAAATAGTTACAATGAAGAGGAAACACCAAAAGTTGTATTTTCCTTGATAAATGTGTATATCAATTCTTCTTATCACTTTTTGTTGTTAATAGAGAAAAGATATACAAGAAGTAGTATAGACACTAAAGGTAATTTCATTCATATTGAATCTTTATGTTTTTTCTTTTTTATTATTTTATTTATTTAATCTTGATTTTGTTTATTGTATTTTAATATATTTTCTTTAAGTTTTTTATCTTGTTTTCATCAAATTGTGCTAAGAATCTGTAATACAATTTGTTAATTTTGTGTGATCTTTTTACTGTTATGTGCTTTTGATTCTTCTTTCTTAATATTAGATTTTGATGTATTCTTTGAATATCAATTTTTTTATTGGTTTTATGGTATTTGATATGCTTTGCCTCATTGTGGTTTCAATCTAGAGTAGAAGAGGTTTTGTCACGACCCAAAACGAGTCGCGAGTGGCACCCACACTTACCCTCCTATGTGAGCGAACCAACCAATCTTTACCCCAACATTTCAACCATAATAAACAGAATATAATGCGGAAGACTTAAACCTCATTAACGAAATCAATTAATAACTTCTAAAATTCAATACTTATCATTCCCCAAAATCTTGAAGTCATCACCACAAGAACATCTATCCCCAAATTACTAAATCTAAGAATGTCTAGGAAGCTAAAACAAATACAAGAGATAGTCCATGTCCGAACTTCAAGGACATCAAGACATGAATGAGAGAGAATCCAGTCCGAGCTAGGAACAATAGCTCACCCTGAAATCTGACGTGGTGAAGACTGGCTAGAGTTGCGGTTGAGTTGAAGACGACGGTACGTTTGCTGCACTCCACAAATAACAAAGAAGGAAACATACAAGTAGGGGTCAGTACAAGCACAAGTACTGAGTAGATATCATCGGCCAACTCAAAATAGAAAGCAATATATATGAGATAATATCATAAAATCAGCTACAATACTCAACAGGTAGCAGCAACAAGTACAAGAATCATTGATAATAACGCCAAGTACACCCATGAGGACTCAAGCCTCCATACCATACTCATTTGGGAAAAGGTTCTTTAAGTTTTGAGTGTATTAAGATAATTCAAGATTCATTCTCTTTATTCTTCTTGTGTCGGAACGTGACACTCCGATCCCCTAATACTACGTGTCGGTTCGTGACACCCGATCCCCTAATACTATGTGTCGGTTCGTGACACCCGATCCCCTAATACTATGTGTCGGTTCGTGACACCCGATCCCCTAATATTATGTGTCGGTTCGTGACACCCGATCCCCTAATACTACGTGTCGGTTCGTGACACCCGATCCCTTAATACTACGTGTCGGTTCGTGACACCCGATCCATTAACCTCATTCTTTTAGTTCATCAAGCCTTCTTTTATACCAAGGCATTATCATTAATAGAGAGGTTTTAAGGTTTAAGATTCAACAGCCTCATCATGCTAATTCATCACAATTACATAATCATATCATGCAAGCACACAATTAAGCATATAGAAGACTTTACAAAATTACCCAATACATATCATTCGCTATTAAGAGTTTTACTACGAAATAGTATAAACCATAACCTACCTCCACCGAAGAATTAGCGATCAAGCAAGCTATCCCCCAAAAGCTTTGCTTTCCTCTTCGTTTCTCTCTTCTCTCGATCGTTCTCCCTCTCTTTCTCTTTTTCTGATTTTTTCCTTATTCAAACTCCTTTTTTTTTTACCCTAATTACCATATAATTAAGTATAAAAGATGACCAAAGTAACCCACTAATTAATTCAAGGTTATCTCCTTTAACCCCCAAGTAATTGAATTATTAACATTAAACCCCTAACTTTATAATTATAAGCAGGAATAGTCCAAAACGCCCCTTAAAACTTTTAACAGAAATCCGACCCAGTCAGGGTTACGCAGTCTGTGACTGCCCGTCGTGCTTGCGACGGTCCGTCCTGCTGCTTCCATCACAAAGTTCAGAGACTAAATTTCATCAAAGGGTCTGTGACGGTCCGTCGTGCCCACGACGGTCCGTCCTGCCATGTCGTCGCGAAGTTCAGAGAGTTGTTCTCAGTAACCAATTTTTCAGAATTCTAAGTGTTTTGGAACGAGACACCCTCGACGGTCCGTCGTGCCCATGACGGTCCGTCGTGGGATCCGTCGACCCAGACAGTTATTACCAGAAATAAATCTACTGCTCAAAACGACTAACAGGTCGTTACAGGTTTACACCGTTATTATTTTATTTTTGTGTGGTCTTGTTAATATGTTGTATCATTGAATGTTTCTTTATATTTATGTTTTGACTATTTTTAGTAATTTTGAAATGTATTCTCGAGGTATTGCTCAATTTTATACGTTATGTGATAGTTTTCTATTTTTTACCTTGGGATTTCAATTTTTGTTGGTTCTTTGACGAACTTTTTCATTCTTTAAGAAATGTAGTTATTACTGTCAACACATAGTATAGGATCATAGACCCTCATTTATATATTTTATACTTGTGTCATTTAAAAAAACGGAATATTAATTAATAGGGTACACATGCTTTGCACGTGAGCAAAGACTAGTACATTATATATACATGAGACTATTTTACACTTTGGACAGTGGCTCATTTTATCTACTTTAAAAGCTAGAATAAATTTAGTAAGAGAGAACATATATACATTTTTTAGCACACCTATAACCTACCTTTCCCATCGATTCCTTCATATATATTTTTTTCTTCTCCTCCAATTATTTCTCTCTCCCTCTTTCTTCTTTTCCATTTTGTCTTCCCTTTCTCTTTACATGGTCCTATTTTTCACTTGTGAAATCAACTAAAAAATATGAGGTGATACTTACATGGTACTTAAAATAACTCACTCGTACATAGTTTAAAACGGATACATAAAATTGATTTGTTAAAATTTTAGTGGTTTTGCACTTCAAAATTACAAAGTTAGCTAGTCACCTAAAAACACACAAGATGTTGGTTGCAGTGTTAAACCAAAGAAAACACACTCAAAATCTTGACAATTTTATTTTTTGGGATTATTGCATCCATGTCAACAGTTATACTCTTAACCATTTCCATCCTCACTAGAATTTAGCATGTATAAGCAGAATGCACCTTCTGCAAACAAAACTGTGTAAAATCAATGGGGAAAATGCTGAAAATATCACAAAGTTCACAGTGCCAAGCACTTTTTATTGATATAGGGAATATAATCCCTGTATTGATAACATTGAGTTTAGTTCTATAAATGAAGATTACATGATTAGGCCTTGACCTCAGATCACTATAAATACAAAGAATTAGACAAATAAGATGGCCTAGATCAACAACAAAGCCAGTACAAGATGAGTTTCTGACTAATAAACAAGCACTGCACAACGTTGCTTTGAAAGCCTTCTCTTTCTCTTTCCATCATCAAATGGCTGCACATACATAAAAGTAGTATTTTAGATAGAATCATTTAAAAGGCAAATGTCTAGACAAAAAATGAAAAAAAATCTCAACTTTTAGTTGTGTTATCAGCTTTGTAGTGATGTAAGCTTATTTGCATTACCTGGGGACTGTATGAATGAGGAACTCTGATCCTTTTTGAGCCATCAGGAAGACGTTTACAAGGAAAATGATCGTCTTCAACCATAAAATCACCACAAACCTGCATGGAAAACAAAAGAGAGTCAAGACTTGAAACCAAGAAAACTGGGCAGAAAGTGAACTGTGGTGATTCTAATGTTCTTACTGCCATGGATAATCTACTTTTAGTCAGCCCTACACTGGGGCAAAAGGATATGAGTAGTAACTGTTTAGTTTTCAAAATCTCTTTTTACTCACCCTACCCTGGGCAAAAGGATATGATTACTAACTTGTTAATATTACTTTTAACCTTACATGTACCACCAGAGAGAGCAAGAAGCTTTAATTAAGTGAATCTCCAAGGCCATACTAAGTTAGGTTGTTTCTTTTTACAGCAGGCCAAAAAGCGCACAGTGGGTCTGCCAATCTTACAAATGCCTCAAGTCTATGGAATCCACACAAAGACTAACCAGGCCTAACTAGCAGTCTGATACAACGTGGAAAAGGTCACCCAGCCGAAGAATGATGCAGAACGGAAAACAAAGTCTAAATGCAGGAGGCATCTGCTGGTTTACCTGATTCTGAAGAGCTTCAACCAATGTGTCTTGACAACCTGATGCATGTACACTTTCCAGATTGGGGCACTGGAGTAGCAATCTTCCTGTAGTTAAGTATAAAATTTATGGTTTAGATGAAGAAAGAAAACCCTCAACTCCAAAAGAGATCACAACCTAAATGAGGGACATGAAAGTGCAGACCTGGATTCAAATTCATACAAGAGTTCAGGTTCAAATCATTAAGCTCCGGACAATTGAGATATAATGCCTGCATGAAAATCTCAATGAGCAACAGTAGCAATGACATGAATAATCCTTATATCTGATAGACTGATATCTTACATCTAAGCCAGAGCAACCCCATAAGCTGAGTTTCTTCAAGTGGCTGTGCTTAATAATCAGTTTCTGATAAATAAGG